ATTTAACTATTTAGTTATTTGAACCTCTCTCCCTAAGCCTAATATTTAGGGCTATTAGTAGGTTAGGTCTCAGCTTGGATTAAAATTATTAACGGAATCAATAGAACATATTTATGTGCAAGTCTGAGTCCAGGTTGAACTTCGGGCCTACATCTTGAGCATGAGCTTGATCAAAATTAAGTAAATTATTATCCATAGATTTCTATTTAGTTAATTTACTAAATTCTTAATTAAAGAATTATTTTCCTAACAAATTATTTTTTTCTCATCCCGGAGCCTATTTTTAAGGCAATCAATATGTTTGGTTAGGTATGTGATTGGGTTGTACATGTCATGTCCCAATAATAAATGAAATTTTATTAATTTATTTTACTAAAACAAATTAATCATTAATTTTTGTACAAAAGTAAATTGTTATCCCTAGATTCCTATTTATTTAATTTATTAAACTATTCAAGTAATTATAATTCATTTAACTAATAAGTTATCTCTCTCTCTCTCTCTCTCTCTCCTCCAACCTGAGCCTAATATTTTGGGTTATCAATAGGATATGTATCCGTTGGTCGGGCCACGTTTAGGTTGGTCTCTGTCTTTATATCAACATAACTTATTAAAGCCCAAGTCTAAGCCTAGGTCAACCATCAAGCTGAGATTTTGAGCGTGCCTGATCATATAAAGCTCGGATTGTAAGCAACATTTAAAAAGTTAAAAGACTTTGTTGATTTAATTTACTAGATTATTTAATTATTTCCCTCTCTTTATTACCGCTCTGTGTCCAACATTTAAAGGTTGTCAATGGGTGGGGTTTGTTCTACGTAGCTTGGATATTTTATTTATTTTATTAAATTAAATTATTCATTTATATATTTTACAAATATATGTAAATTATTATCCATAGATTTCTATTCGTTTAATTTACTAATTTATTCCATTAATTAATAATTTCTGAATAGTTTAGGGTCTGAGTTGGGATTAAACCTATTCACAGGTAGTGTCATGTTCGGGAAGGGCTTTGTCTTTATATCAATAGAATATATTGAAGCCCAACTTCAAGCCCAACCCAACCATTAGACCTATCTCTTGAGTCAAGCCCGGCGAGGAAATTGTTATTCTTTAGTACTTTCTCATTTCCTCACCAATTAATTTATATATTTAATTTAGTAACTTAAAAATTTTATTTATTTAATTTTATCAACATATTATTTCCCTCTATCTCCCCCTCCCTCTCCCTGAGTCCAATATTTTGGGTTGTAGATAGTTTGGATGTTTACTTATTTATTTATTTATTTATTATTTTACTATATGAATTAAATCTTTATCTACARATTTTATTATTTAGCTTAATAAATTATATAATTAATGAATAAATTATATTATTAACAAATTATCTCTCTCTCTCTCTCTCTGAATCCTTATTTTTTGGGCTATCAACGAGTTAGGTTTAGAGTGGGATATGTACCTATCCCGTCCCATTAATAAATGACATTTTATTTATTTATTTTACTTCATTTATATATTTTAATACATTAGATAAACTATTATATATAAATTTTTATTTATTTGATTCAACCCAAAACCCAATAATAAATAAATATTTAGTTATTTTATTAAAATAAATCATTGATTTGTTTATTTTACAAAATTAAGTAAAATATTATTCATAGATTTCTATTTTTTAATTTACTAAATTATTCAAGTAGTTAATAATTTATTTAAAACTTAAGTTATTTAATATTTAGGGCTATTAGTAAGTTAGGTTTCATTTGGGATTAAAATTATTAATGAGTTGGGCTAGGTTTAGATTGGGATTTTAGAATATATTTAAGCCCAAGTTTGAGTTTGGGTCGGCCTTCGGGCCTAGATCTTGAGCATGAACCCAACGTTCATTTACTTTGTGGCGGCAGTCATAAATTTTTTTAGCATTGATCTTGCTCCATACCCAAACCGACCAACATGACATTCTAATTTTTTTTTTCACCTGCCAAATATAATCTAAAATTGTCCAAAATTCAAATAATCTGTAATTGTTTTCGATTATTTAATACAGTTGCAATTTGTTTCAAATAACATGTTTTCTTTTCATTCGTCCAAATTGGAATTAAATATATAATATCAAAACATCAAATTACAAATAAAACATAAATTTTCATTCTCCATTTAAAATATTTAAGTCAAACACATCTTAGTTTCAAATTGAAACTTCTTGATACAAATTTCATCCTTCATTCTCATAAACATGTATACTTCCACTCAAAACACTTGGTTTACAAATCTTCTTCTACTGCTTCTACCAAAATCCAACGAAGATTAATTCCTACACAAAGATGGGAAACAAATTGTAAGCAAACCTGAACCAAAACCACAAATAAGAAAATATCAATTATGCAAAAATTTAAATAAGCATTAAAGAGAAAAGGAATTTTCTTAGTACAATGACAAAATATTAGGATTCCAAACATGAGAATACATATATAAATAAAAGTTGGAAGTCCATGTCCACTCCACCCATTCCAAAACCCTAGAAAACTAGGACCAATGTAATGGCTTTTTGCCCTTCAATTGTAGAGAAAAGGAGTTGGCATGTTTCCTTCCTTTTGCTACTAATCTATAACATAACACAAGCTATTACTGAACCATATTCATACATAATTTTAAGAAATAAAAACAAAAATAAAGATTTTTATCAACATAACTCTATCATGAACCCTTGATATATAGAATTGTAAGGGTAGAATCAGGAGCCACAACAATCCTAAAATTTCAAGCCTCTCAATTGCAGAACCACAATAGACAGCAAACCAGAACCATCAGCTTAACTTCTGAGATATTGGATTCAAGATCTACAACCTCGATTGTATGGCCTAGACTCCTGCCTTCCCTGACCTAATTAATATAAGAAATATTAGCTCTCTGAATGTTAAAGAGAGAAAATATTTAAATTATAATAATGGAATAAAGAACTACATATATTAATTCCAGCTAACCCGGTCTATCATAAGGACTGACGGATCCTTCATAATTTGAGCAAGCTCATTCACTGATTCCACAACCTGTGAATAAACTTCAATTAATTAAAAGAATAACACAAAGTTTCACAGACCAAGCAATTGCATGTACAGTGAGGTGGGGTTGAGATTTAATTGCAAGAACTTCTGTACTGTTCTTTCTTCAATCAAGGTACCTACCATCACTTTAAGCAAAGATGTAACAACTTGGTTGGGGCTTCTTCACTCTTCTAATTTATTTATGGATCAAATAAAATGAGTCATCATTTTTACCCTTAACACCATTTATGATGGATGGGCACATATCTAAACCCACACATGATCTCAAGACTCTTAAAGAAAGTAACGGTCGTGCCATGATCTTAAGTCCATCAAATTCTTGTATGCCATTGTACAAACTTTCTATTACCCGAAATGTTCCTTGAGATCTTATCAAAAGCCTTATTTATTTCTTTTCTAAAATACCAAATAAATAAAATGAACTTCCAACAATGGACTACTTATGATATTATTAAGAATAATTAAAACATTTGATAGGGACCGTATAACTTTTGTAAATGAAAAGGCAAACAAACATTTATAAGAGAAACCTTTATGAAGACGCAATTCCCCTGCACTTTGTTTCTTGATAGGTGCCCTTCCATTGGCATTTTCTGACATCTCCCTTTGCTTTTCCTTCACTTTGAAAAGCTTAATCATTATGCCTACAATTAAAATAGAAATTAGTATCTAAAGCATCCCAAGACATATAGCATATGAACTTTACCTTTCTTAAAACTTTGAAATTCTTGGCTGGTTTTGATTACTTTAGAAATAGGCACTAAAAGCAGTATAAGGAAGAGATTCCCAAATTTAAAATGCTCAATTCAGCATTCCAGTAACTTGCAAACCACTTATTTGCAGAATGATGACAACACAGGAATTGGAATGATTAATTTCTCCTTACAATTTTTATCATATACCAATAATACCTGTGCATTTAAACTATTACAAGTTTGAAATACTTTTCAAACTCTGCTTTCAGCACCCAATTCAGCAGTTATCAAACACTATCTTAATCTTTTTCCCATTATTGGTTAAGAAATAAAATAACTCTATTCAATAAAGTGGAAAGAGATGTATAAAATAACTCTATTCCAATACAAAATGAAGGAAACTTTTCCTTCATTGAGCTAGAGATAGAAGGCCATTTTGTATTTGAAGTAATCGAGAAAATCCAATAAAAAAGAAAAAGGGAGATTTTTGATGATTTTTAAATCTTTTCCACTAGGTAATCTATTCTCCTTATGTATGAAGATATTCAATTCAGTCGCCTTGGTGATTGGACTCTATTATGGATTTCTTACCACATTCTCCATAGGGCCCTCTTATCTCTTCTCTGAGAGCTAAGTTATGGAAGAAGGAATCAAAGCCATTTTGTATTTGAAGTTTTCCTATCTTTGCTTTATAGGCAAAGTAGGAATTTGACTAAATCTCATGTCAACAAGCATGAAAATATGCTTTTGAGGTTGAGCTAAGAATGTCAAAGTTTAGGTCCATCAACCCCTCCCAAGACCCCAGATGGCTAGGACCAACATTGAGTAATGCTAATGGGTGGAGATTTGAATAAATATGAAGCATAGAAAGGAAATAATATTGGGAAGTATTATGTCAACCCAACAAAAAAAAGCATGATTTGCAAAAGCTCCACAGCTTAACCGAGGAAAATGAGTGTCAAAATGCCATCAACTACCTTCCAAAAATATTATGCATTGATTTACACCCTAGTATTATGCATAGATTTACACCCTAGTATTATGCACTTTCCAAATAACCTAGGCAAGTCATGAACAGGATCAAGCTCCATAAGATCATTCCTTTCAAGTTAAAAGCATGACCACTACATCATGTGAGTCTTATTCCTTGAGGTGAATCTTGAAGAGAAAACCATAAGGCTCAACCTTGGGGCTTGTTCCTAAAAGTACAAGGCATATGCCTCGTACCTTGAGGTACATTATTTCTAGAACACCACCACATAGATTCTTGAGGGATAGTTCTGAGTAAGATTTTTAGCCAACAGTGATCAAAAAGCTTACTTATTAAAAAAACAATGATAAAAAACTTCATTAAAGTGAATAAAAAATTACAAAAAGAGATATACATGATGAATAATAAAGAAAAAATACAGAAAAAAAAAGACTTACTATATCAGTGACCCTTACAAAAGGAATAACATCACGACTATACAAAAAACTCCAGAGTAACACAACATGTGCTATATCAGTGGAATCAGCATTACCAATAGAGGTATTAAATGCCTACCATATGCTCTGCCTATGGGAAATGAAGTCCTTACACTGGGAGGCCCAATATTGCCTAGTGATGAACTGCCACCAAAGTGAAGTTTGGGGGAAATGACTGCTCTTGTATAACTCTCTCCAGTGGAGACAGTCATCATTGGAGAACCACCAAGAGATTGTTGTATAAGTTTCTATTTTCTACCAAAAGCAGTCCTGCATGTCATCAAAGATATGGTTTGGAACTCTTTTTGAACAGTGGACAATAAAGCTGGCATATAAAGGACTCTATCTTGAATGACCCCAAGAGTTGAGGATTATTTTCAAAAACTCTTCAGTTCCTTTTCTCCCAAGGTACCCACGTGACAGTGTGGGTGGTTACTCTCCAAAACACCTTTTGCCTCTCCAGTACCTGTGGCCTCCAATTCCTAAACACTTTTTGAACAGTGGCCACTAAAGGTGACATATAAAGGACTCAATCTTGAATGACCCCAAGAGTTGAGGGTTATTTTCAAAAACTCTCACAGTTCCTTTGCTCCCAAGGGTAACCACGTGACAGTGTGGGTGGTCTCCAAAACACCTTTTGCCTCACACCCAGTACCTGTGGCCTCTAATTCCTGAAGTCATGTGCACCATGAAGAGGATCCTACTGAAGCGCAATCAAGTTTAGGTAAAAGTTTCACAGGTCCTCTTCAAGACTGCAACTGAATAGTGAAGGAACAAGTGGTTGATTGACTCCTACCTTTCAAGCAGGGATGAATGCATGTGGAGAGAAAAATACTTGCAGTTGTATCTTCTTCTTCTTTGCATCATATCAGACAGGTTTATCTTTACACATGTAACTTCACATATAAATAATCCAAGATAGGAAGAGATACAGAATCAAATCTTTCTAACAAGAAATTAATTTGGTTGTTATTTGGATGCCACTGAACTTTGGAGAAAATATGGGAATATATCCCATCAGGTGATGGGATCCACAACCTACAGTCAAATGGGATAGAGGATATGAAGGCACCATTTAAGGATCCATGCAAAACTAATTTGTATTCCATAGGCATGCCTACCAATCCATGTTTTAACCACTTGCCGAGTCAGACTCCTGTCCTGGCTATGATTTGTATTCCAATTCCCACGTCTGTATCCATGTAAAACTGACTTCACAAAGAATTTTCTTTTTCAAAAGATAAAAATTCCAACCATAAACAACCCAAACCTTCCAAAGCCGTGGAAGATACAATAAACTAGATAGACCTCTGAAACTCTTTGTAAATATAATCAAAAGTCAAAACCTTTGTCTACATAAACAGAAAGGAAAATCCAAATAGGTAGGRCATGTCTCCTAAAATGGATCAACCCAATAAACACCGTGCAGAGAGCATAAGACGAATAATTTACGAATTGAAGAAAAAGTAACGCATGGGGAATCAAATCAAAACAGGAAGATGAAAATTTGAGAACCTTAAATATTATAACAAATTTAACTTGAGACCCTGAAGAGCATCCAAAATAAAAACGATCATAATAAATTAATTAATTAAAGTTAAGATTGAAAATCTGAAACTCAATATCGAGCTACACAAACAAGAATTCGTGTAAACGTGTGATATAAAACGTAGAAAAACCCTAAGAAGGATCCATCAAACGCAGATAACAGGAAAAGGAAAGATAGTAATTATTAAAACGAACATGTAAACCTGACTAATTTTTCTGGTAGAATGTTGTCAAATTTTAGGGTTTCGAGCGTATAGAACAAATGTTAAATTCAGTGCACTGATGAAAGAGAAAAAAAAGGAACAAATAGAAATCCATCAGAGCACCAGATCCAAGAGAGCATAACTCGAAAGAGTCAAGGAGGCTTTGGCAATAGATCTCACAGGTGCTGGTCACGCCCGCCCTTGGTCTTAGCTGTGGCTTCTCCTTTAGAAAAACGATATTGGCTTTGTTGATAATATGGGTTTGAATGGCTGAGATATCGTTGCATTTCTGAACCTCATTGGCACTTGTCACGTTGTGGTACATTGAATCGCCAGTTGGTGTTGTATGGTGGAGAACAGAGAAACTTGTCGTTCGATAGTGCATCACAGAGACGTTAGTTTCTTTTGTTGGATGCCATCCGGTGGTGCAAAGGACAACTGAGAGAGAAGAGGGAGAGAGGGGGGGGGGGGGGGAGGGAAGAGAAAATGAGAAAAATGGGAACAAGTGCGTGTGTAGGCGAGAGGGGGGAGGGCGGGAAGAGGAGAAAACGAGAAAAAAAGGAAATGATTTTTTAAAATACATGCAAAGGGAGGATTTAAGTTAAATTTTCACGCTACTGTAAAAGCAATTAGTTCGGTCTTAGGGGCAGTTTAAATTAAGTAGTAGGAATCACCATTTTGTCGGTTCCAAAACTCCGGTTAAAAGTGATTTTTGTTGCAGTAAGGGGAGTTCAAGTTATAAAAAACTAAAAAAAATGATTGAATGAAAAGAATAATTTCACAAAATAGAAGAAAGTGGCAAAATGATAGGTCCACCGGCCATTTTTTCTCACCACAGATAATCGTCGATGGACCTGTAATTGGGTGCACCGCTATTTGGTTCGATATGTACAAATGAGAGGAGATGGAGGTACCTCGCATGGGGTATAAAGTACTGAAAAAAAAAAAAAAAAACCAACTTCATGTCACTTTTTTAAGTACTTCTTTTAACAAAAAGTACTTCTTCCCCACTTTTTTACCAAACACATAAATTCACTTAATAACCACTTAATGTGTGGTCACAACTCTTTAAAGAAGTACTTCTTATAAGTGAAATCAAACAAGGGCATAGTATTTATGCTAGAGTTGTCTCTCTGTGTGACCCTCTCATACCCGACCCACAAACCAATTATGTCGGTTCTCAACTCATACCCAAACAAATTATATAATTAATAACATATAAGAATCTTAGCATTTTTTATCAATAACACAACCGTAATAATATATAAGAATCTTAGGTACATGTTGATCACCACAATTGTAATAAGGCAGAAGGTGCGAAACCGATACCATAGAGACACCCATGATGAGTTCACGATTCGACACAAATCTGTGATGAGCTCTGAACCTGCACGAACTTGCAATGAGCTCAAAGCCCAAAACGAGTTTGCGAGGCCACCATAGGCCTGCAACAGACTCAAAGCTGTGATAACAATGACATTCCCGAAATTGCTAGGGATCTGCGATGAGATCACAACCATCGCAGATCAATGATGAACGAATAAACACGATGATTGACCAATGTCATTGTGATAGGATGCCCAATAGGATTAAGATAAACACGTAAGATTAGTATTGACATCATCCGTGCCACTTCAGTTTAAGAGACTTGCAAAGGAAGTAGTATACTTATATTATGAGAATCCTTAGACGAAAGAAAACCTCATCCTGCAGAAATCCCATAAAACACATAGCAAAACCTTAGTGATGTCCCCCTGACAACTAACACCGAATCAATGATTCCCTTTCTAAGTGGGAATCAAACTCTTTTAGCTCCTTCCTTTCAGGACCTCGAGATCTCTCCTTATAAAAGGAGATCTGACTCATTGTGGGAAACATTCTGTCAATCAGAGTCTTTAGCCTACCCTTTGTCCTCAACCTTCCTTCGTCTTTCAAGGAGACCCTTGTACGTAGCCTTACCACCATACTCACATTAGAATCTCTAGTTGTTCCTTGATCACGAAGGATGGTTGTTTGTAAGATCAACCTTTCCCCTGTCCTAGAAGAATAGTCAAATGAACACGAAAATATTAACCTAAAGGCCAAAGACCAAATCGACCAAGAGTCGGCCAAATAAGTTGACATAGAAATCCTCTCCAACAAGGTGTATGATTTTGAGGCTCGGTTCGACCAACTAGAATAGATGTAGGCCAAGATGAGAAGCACCTTGCAATTACTCCTCCAAAGATCATCTACAATTGAACATTCCCCATTCACCCCTATCGGTCCTTCTGCATCTATCCTTGCTAGCCACCCTACTAACTTGAACCCCAGCATGAACGGGCATCCTCCTAGAACCAACCCCATGCCTACACAAGATACAATACAAAGGACTTGTTTCTCCATTGCTGAATAACCCCATATGGCCCCACAAAGCAACACGGTGATGGAGGCACCCATCAGCCGTACTGAGTAGAAAGATTATGTCTAGGGCCTAATGGAGGAAAGTCAAAACAGAGCCCAGTTTGCACTCATACTCCAAAAGACCTATCCTGATTAATCCTATACAAACCATACCCCTCCAGTTATGTTCCACCACAACAGTGGCCACAGTATGATGGGAAAAATGGGAGTTCATAAGAGCATGTGAACAAGTTCGAAGACGCGTTGGGATCGTTTTCCCTGGACGGAGACCTGAAAGTTTGAGAGTTCTCAAAATCCTTGACTGGACTGGCATACACATGGTTCGTCAACCTGACCTCGAGAAGCATAAACTCATGGGCAAAGTTAGTGAAAAGGTTCTTGTCCAAATGGTTCACTCTTGAGCAGAGGCTTACGATGGCAGACCTACGGAACATAGATGAGCACGCTACTGAGAAGAGCTTTGTTGAATAGTGCGTGCAAGGGATGCACCCGACCTATAGGATAGGCATTGAAAATATTGAAGTTGAGACATTTAGTCAGTTGTGGAAATGCGCAGAAAAGATAGTGCACACTGTTAAAAATACTGTGCCCCAGTCTATCCTGGTAGCATTGCAATACGGGAGGAACAAAGTGTATGTCGTCAACCGAAGGCCTAGGAACACTAGGGGACCTAACTAGGGGGTGAGGTGGTGCAATTACCACTAGTCGTTGAATCACGATCTGATGAACTGCTTCATACTCAGGCGGATATTCGTACAAAAGGTAAAGCTGGATGACTTTGTTAAAAGAAATCCGGCACAGGTAGAAACCAACCCCCTCCCCGCACATATCCAAGGAGGCAACATCAATATGGTAGGGACACTAGGAGGCAACCATCCGGACACACTAATCCAATGATTCAAGCAGAGTCTAGACCTACAACAGTTCCTTAGCAAGTAGGGAGCTAGTGCTACAACACGGCGACTCGCCACCAGGGTGCTAGTAGAAGCATTTAGAAGATCACTTGAACCCCACCACTTGGACAAGTCACACGTGGAGTTCACTCTGGATGACATGTTGGCTATAGAACCCCCACCATAACCGGCCCCTGTATATCATAGCCAAAATAGGGGCTATGAGATGTAGTGATCATTCATCAATTAGGGTAGTTCTGTGAACTTGACCTCTCTCCACACCCTGAAGCCAATAAACATATAGAAGGAAACCATTAAAGGGCTGCTTATGGAAGTCACAGACTTTAATGGTAATGCATCTGCCACCGAGGGGGTCTATTGAGTTGCCAATGGCTATTGGTCCATTCTCTATCAACTAGGAGTTCCAAGTGATTTTGGGGAGAACTGCATACCATGCCATGTTGGGGTGACCATTGATACATGGCTTGGCATTGGTCCCATCTACATACCACTAGTGCATCAAGGCCAAGCACAGAGGCCACATTGTGAGAATCTTGGCTACCCGTGTCCTATTCGATAGAATGGAGACCCATCTTTAGGACGTGATCTACTACACAGAGTTGGTTGAGGAAGGAGAGACCAGAGTAGCCAAGGTGGAAAGCATTTAGCTACCAAACCTAGCAAGTGAACCTCCATCAGTGCTAGAAAGGAAGAAGCGATCCAAGTGTGTACAGGTCACTGATGAGAACAAGAGAGTTATTACACGATCGTGGAGGAATATGAGGATGCCGACACACCATCCACCAAAAAGGCCATCCTTGAGGTATGAGTTTATTTGTTATATGTGATAGCTAATGAAAATTGAATAATCACTGTAAATCATATGTCTTCACAAAAGAAAAATATATACATGTTCTAAATTTTGTTGCAATTAGAACTATTTCACTATGTCATCTTCACACAAGGATATCGCGATGATCTTTCGCAAAAGGACTCTGAATATACAAAACATATTTGCATATACAATTTAGTAACAAAAGAAAAGTACTAAAATCAACTAAATAACAGGAGCACAACAAAGAGATAGTGGAATATTATGATGAATCCACGTGCCTCCTAAGCACATGCAGGATTCCAATGGCACTGTGGAAGAACTATTAGAAGAAATCAACATGGCCACTGAAGGAGTAAAGAAAAGGCCACTATATATCTTGGCCAAGCTAGAACCTGAAGAAAGATAGAAATTATTGGACCTTTTGAAAGCTATAAAAACCTTTCTTTTCCCAATTGCAAAAAAAAAATAGGATACATGTCAAACAAAACTAAACTACATTTTCTCTCATATTGATAGAATTCCAAGATGTCTTTGCCCGGTCATACGACTAGATGCCCGGATTGGACTTAGCACCAAGCACTCACTTTGCATCGATCCTAAGTTCAAACCTATAAAACAGCCACAGAGGATTTTCAAGCCAAAAATAGCTCTAAAGATCAAAGAGGAGGTCGAACGACTCCTAAAAGTAGGCTTCATCAAACTGATTGCTCACCCACAATGGCTAGCCAATGTGGTTCCAATCAAAAAGAAAAATTGCCAATTAAGGTTAGTACTCAGATCTCAACACATTAGCTCACAACTACTAGTAAGAGACTAGTACATTGACTTTTCCCACCCTACCCTAGGTGTTGTGTCAATTTCAGGGACCTAAACAGGGCCTACCCCAAAGACGAGTTCTCGTTGCCAAACATAGATATCCTTATTGGTTCAATGACTGGGAACCAGTTGTTCTCTTTCTTAAACGCCTACAGTGGATACAATCATATATATATGGACCCTGTAGATGCACCACACACAACGTTTAGGACACAAATTGAGAACATCTACTACAAGATGATGCCCTTTGGCCTAAAAAATGTTGGAGGCACATACCAAAGAGCGATGACGAGTGTGTTTCATGACATGATGCATAAGGAGATTGAGTGCTATGTTGGTGATATAGTGGTCAAATAAGAAAGAGAGAAAACCACTCTGACGTACAGAGAAAGGTGTTCACTGATGTAGGGCCTTCAACCTAAGGCTCAACCCATTGAAGTGTGCATTCGAAGTACAGTCAGGAAAGTTCTTGGGATATAGAGTTGACCATACAGGGATCCACCCAGATGAGATAAAATTAAAAGTAGTCTTGAA